ATAATATAATATAAAAACGAAAGCAACATTTTAATAATGCTATTGTGACATTCCGATCACTCGCGTTATCATTAATTAAAATTGTACATAAAAATATTAAAATAGATATAGCTGTATCGTGTCATTGACGATTTATCTTATCGGGTTTATAGCGTATCCGGGTATAGCATTTCGCATACAAGATAATCGTATTGTGAACTACTTTATGCGCATTCGTGGAAAAAGGATCGATAAGACGTTACGCTTAAGTCGTTCGCCCTTAAACAGGTCGTTTCCATAGACTGTGAATCAGCCATTGTTATTTAAGCTTTGACATTTTCGCAATAATAATGTACCTATGATAATGCATCCGATGCAGTATACGCGTGGTGCCGACGTGTTGCCACCCAAGAGACACGCGCGAACGAGGAGGCGCGCGTGTAACACGATACGATGACATTTTGCAGTTACCTTTTGAAAATCATAATCCGTGATCGTCGCTGTCGGCACACGAATCTCCTGTCTCTCGCCTTTACGATTCGCTTCCGCGTTCCCTTTATGCGCTAGTTCCTTTCTTGCTCGCCGATTTCTTTTTATTCTTCCCTTCCGCCGTTTTATTTTTTCGTTTGATAAACGTTAATGAATTTTAGGAGTGAATGTGCATGATATCCAAAAACTTTCTTTTATCTAGGCGTCTTCTTTGAGGAATTACAGTTGATACTTTTTTTTAGCAAAGATCCGATTAAACGCCGTCATATTTGATCTTTTAATTATAAATGAAACTCTGTTTCTATGTGTTTGTATGTTCATCGAACCGTATCTTCCGATCTTTTATCTTAAAGATAATCCCTTTAAATTAGTTAATTCCAATCAATTCTTAATAAAGGCTCGTCGAATTAGGGTGAGGGAAAGGGGGACAACTACATCGAAACAAGGCTTTATGAGACCCTATGAATGGAGCGCTTTGTTGCTGTTGGATATTGTGCCGGAGGCTCGTCTGTGACGGTTCATTTCCCACGATTATTTTCTCTGACCCGTGTATGTCAGCGGTCGGAAAATTAGGATGTTTAGTAACATGTAATAAATAGGAGGCCAGTATTTCATTTCGCGCACCGGTCAGTGAACTCGCACAGAATCATTAGTAGCAGCAAAACATGTTTCTTAAAGTAAAATACTAGCATTTTTAAATCGATCGATTATAAAAAAAATTCCACGCTACATTTTATTAGCTACAAAACAGAAATGAAATAATTTAGTACTAGAATTTAAATTATTTAATATTAAATCATTTAAAATTAGGCCTTAGTATTATTCGAACGGAAATGACGGGCAATCTCTTTTATCGTGTAAAAATTAATCTTCCATTTATTCGCACATTGTATATAAACATGCTAAAATTTATCTCACAGTCGTCGTAAGCTTTCTTCTGAATCCGGCAACATAGACACATAAATTCATCCGAGCCCATTTGGCTGGCGCAATACCTCCTCATTAATTCGCCGCGGCGTGCACAGCGTAGGCTTATTTATCAAATACCAAAGCCCCGTTGGTTACGTCGCGCTGAGATTTCCATTCAACGAAAGTCGAGCGCTCCGAAACGTCATTCTTCGCGACGCGACGCTATTCAGAATCGAAGCAACCGTGTCTTACGATATGTTCACTTGCGACATTGCGACTCGGCGAGTCCCCGATACTACTTATCTGTGCATTACTCGACAAGTTGCACACAATACTGCTGATGGAGATTTATAGCCGCTCGAAAAAGAAGAAACAGGAACTCAATAGACGAACGAATACAGGTAGACTGTAGTTTTTCTATTCTGCATTGACTACAAATTTAAAAAGTTAAAAATAACAGAGAACGGAGTAAACATCTGAACCGAATTCTCTTGGATTTTCCTACGCATTGCACAATGCGGAGAAACTGTTCGAGTCGGCTCCATAAAAAATTTACAGCTCGAGAACTATTTTGAAAATTCCTTTGACAATTGTAAACTTTATCTATATTATTCGTAAAGCAATATCACTCAGAGACACAGAGAGTTACCGAGTTTAGATGCTGTAAATATTTTTAAAAATTCCAGAAACTTTTGTTTCTATTTTTTTGGATAAGAAAATTATGTTATCTCGAGAGAGAAAACATTTGCAGTATGTGTGCAGAACAATGTCTGATAATTGAATGTCTGATAATTGAAGCCAAATGGGTTCGTGGAAATTTGAATTTAGCTAATTCGAGCGAAATATAATCGAGTCTGTGTCGTGCAAGAGCAGTACCATTGCAGAATGCATGGGATAGCTACATATACACATGCGTACAGGGTGGTTGAGTGACGAGAAAGGGAAAAATATCGTGGGGTTGACCATGCCATTGTCAACAATGACACCCGGAGTGTCCATTGTCTGGCGGAGTCTCGCGTTTTTTATTCAACGGATATTTATAATCTGCCTCTCGCATCGCAAAATAATGCCCATGGATTTGCATACGCAACGGTATCTCGACGTGGAAATATCGCGTGAGAAAACGAATCGAGGCCCCGTTAGCAGCGCATTGCAATTTCTGTGCATGATGAATATAGTTTTCGTCGGAGCGATAAATAACGTCGACCGTGATTCGAGATATTTTAAGATTTATGGAAAAAGTGCAGGAATTTAATTGAGCGCGTATCGACTGCAATCACATGCTTTATAGTAGCATTGTGTTTACATTTTATGTACTCAAGATGAAATAAACATGCGATTGAGCGTCGAAAGAAAAGAATGGGACTGTAGAGAATTTCCGGAACTTCAGGCAAAGTGGAAGAATGTATAGAAAGCGCAGGTAAGGAAAATAGGCTTTAATGATTGGTCCTTGAAATGCCGAAAGTTAGAAAGAGTTGAAATGCCGAAAGTTAGAAAGAGAGGAGGAGAAAGTTAGGATGCAAGAAAGTATCATTGAGAAATCACGAATGATTTTTGTGACCAGTCTTTGTCGTAACTGTAGGAAACGGGATCATTTTGCATCACATGCCCTACCATTGACTATCTCGAGGTTTCCTCAGACTTTCCAAAGACTTTTTGTCAGTTGCCTTTGAAGGTTGCTTTAGGCAAACGTGCGAAAAAGTTTTTAAGAAATCTGTTACACAATATCAAAATCCGTGAAAACGCGTGCTTTAATATGAAGTAATGACGAATATACACAACTTGTACTATAATAATTTAAAAATTTTTAAACAAACAAAATAACTTAATAATAATTTGAAAGTTCGATTTATTTAATCAATATTTGAATAAAAAGGAAGATTCTCTCAGAGAAAAGGCTAAAATAATGAAAAAAAACATGGATTGTTATAAATATAAAAAATATTTCAATTTAATGTAATTTAATATTTTATATTACGCTTTCAGTTTTCGAAACATTACAACCATCATGTCGGTGCTACTGGAAGGGAGGTCATACAGGCCGTTCAAGTCCTCGGAGGAGTACCTGATAGCGATGAAAGAGGACCTGGCGGAATGGCTGAACTCCCTGTATCCGGAACTCAGGATCAACCTCGACAATTTTATGGACAGACTGGACACCGGTGTCGCTCTATGCAAAGTAAGTGTCGCCCAATGATTTGCCCAGGCAATAACTATAACTGCGGAAGCACGATTATCCGTGCGGTTAAGCGCTCGCACATTCGTAACGAGGCGATCCTTATCGCGCGACTGTCATTGTCGAAAAGCTTCCCCCACGATCAAGATATCCATTGGCCTCAATCCTAGAACACGATTGTCACGTTTTCCCGCTCGTTCCGCGTCTATTTTCTCGCCGGTTCGTAAACATCCGCCTATACACACAGTATCGCGAAAGTACAGCTGCATGCCTTGCATAGTGACGTGATTTCTCTAGAATCCAGTTAATTTTTTGACGAACATTTTATGGCGAACTCTTACGCAAAGAGATATAAATTTCAGGCATTTCAGCCATAAATAATAGATTGATAGTATAATATATAAATATATGGACGAACTAAAAAATACGCACACGAGTAAACGTTTTATCGCGCTAGTTAAATTTTTTAAAATTTGTACGTGAAGTTTCCTGTTGACATGCTAGCGTCATTTAAGAACGCACGCGGCACGTGCTAAAGATGCATAAAAGTCATACGTGTGCATCGAGGAGGAAGAAGGATGTGTATGACGTCCAGCGGAAGCTCTTCGTCCTGCGTGGTGTGAATTATGATTGAGTTTAAGTGAGCGAGTGTGGAAAGGGCGAAGAGTAAAGTGTCTTTAAAAGACCTTTTCATTCCTAGCTGTTTTATATTTTCATTAAAGTATGCCGTTAAATTATCGCTGTTATTTTGTTGCGCCAATGAAAGTTCGAATACAAATATTACATTAATAGCAACCTTTGTTACGTTACTATTAATATTTTCTAAAAAAAATCTTGAAATTCTGAATTATTAAATATTAATTAAAAATGTCAGTGAATCTAATAAAAATTCAATAGAGAATTGTTATATTTGTTTAATTATTTAAATAATATAATTTTCCTCAACGTTTTCAAGATTTGTGATATGCGAAGTATATATACGCCTCTTTTTTTGGCCGTATTTGCAACAATATGCTTCCACAAGGTGCATAATGGAGAATGTAGACACCTACTTAAATGAAATTAAAATTATGCATGTGACAGCGTGCATATCTTTTTTATTGGCAAGTGACAACGAGTAAAACCTGTCTGCTAAAATCTCTGCTGGTTCTCATTGACGCGGTGTCGAAACAAAACAAAAAAAATATGCATACAACTCGTATCTCCCACACGACCGTGTGCCACTCGACTGCAGCGGCAGATAGAGTAGTCACTCGTAGCGTGACCGATCGGCTGTCGACGTTGTACACGGTCAGCTTATTAGCTTGGACATTATTAAAGCAATTTTAACGAGTCATTAAGGGCACGGCAAATTAGGACGTTTGAAAAAAATCGCGGGACACAATGAGTAATGGTTTAATTACCCGATTAATGCGGCCGGCAGTCGCAACGCTCTCATGCCGTATCACGGCCGCGTGGAAATTGCGAGCGTAAGGTTTATGCGTTTGTATGCGACTACCAGTCGTGGATAAGTACACGGCGTATACGGCGGCGGCATGTGCTTATGAATATTATCGAGCGGTTCATTAAAAGGAAGTAGGAAAAAAAAATTTCGAGGAAAAAACCGCCCAAACAAGTGCAATGTCATTATTATATTCGCTAATTAAAATTTTTTATTTAATAACCACATTTCAAGATCGAATGTCGTAAATCCTCAAGTTTTTATCGTCGCAATTTTGCACCGTGACGCCAGATTCGCAATGCCTCCCGGAACGATACCGCGCGATCAATCGCGATTCAGCGGCGATCGAAGAACGGCCCGTGTGCCGGATCGAGGCTCGAGTCCGACTTTCACTGATCTACGACGACGATCGGCCGCTCGAGCCGACCCGGGCATCGAGCTCCATTCATCGCCACGGGCCCCACGTAGCGCGCGCGCCCATAATGTCCACGACGAGCAGCATTTCGATCGCCGCGGCGCGACACGCTCGTATAAATGCCGGGATATCGGCCGGACCCGCGCACGTTATTAGCGGCGCGTCGTCCGTCGTTATAAATTCACGCCGGGGAAATATTTAGAGTAGGCAGAGGACGATAAAACCGCGGCGGCTCGGCTCGCGGTGCGTGCGTGCGCCTCTGTGTACCAACTCGGAGAAAGTCACCGTGGCTCGTGGCGCATCGGTTATGCGACTGAAGCCTGATTCAGGCCACGGTAGGACTCACATACTCAATCATAAATGTTTATATTAATCTTGCAATCATGTGTGCAATCAGATGTATAATTTCCTCGCGTGGTTAGAATTCCCGAAGAAAGAAAGGAAATAAAAACTGAAACAGTAATAAAAGAAAATGGAGAGGACTGTCGATCGTATCGGGAACGCATTATACACAGACCGAATGAAACATTGCAATTAAGACGTTGAGAACAGGACGATACGACTAAGCCCCAACGTTCAACATTAGACACGTTCCGTTCGTAGAGCGAAGCGCGAGGCACTTTAGTCTGAATCCGGTTTAAGGATTACGGCGGATCTCGAGGTGAGGTACTGGAATTTCTTACCTATGGCAGGGGGTAGATTGGGTTGCAGCAGTCGGCAGAAGCAGGGGAAGGGCGGGCAGGGCAGTGCTTTTGCATATATCGACTTTACGAGCCGTGACGTGAGTGGCGAGGCGGGGAGCATAATAAGGTACGCGACGAGGAGCGATAAGGAACCCCAGTGCTCTCGATACCGGCACTTGTGGGGACTCTTCTCTGCTTTTCTTTCTCTTTTCCATATCGTTCGCGCAGGTTTTTATTGGCTGCAAGATTTTTTTGTACTCTGTTTACGGGCGGGGAAGGCGCTCAGACGACCTGCATGCAATATGCATCGCGCGACGATGAAATCGAGAACATTTGTGTCTACTTGGAGCTCTAAAAGCTTTTTTTTCCATAATTTCTTAACACTTTTTTTTAATATTGCGCGATACGAGCATGTCGTTTTCGCGAATATGTTAATTTAAGGAGATTAAACCTGTTTTCTTGAAGAGTTTTTATCATAACGAGTTGATTCTTTTTAAAGATATAATGTAACTTATTTTGACTTGTATATTTATAATGATAAATTATTTATAATCTTGCACAAGTAGCGACAATTTTGAAGAATAATATAATACGAGTTACAGTTGGATTAAACACAGAGTAAACATTTTAGTAAATAAAGATTTTAATTTAATTTTTGAAACGTATCGGAGACAAAATTGATTATCATGAGAAATGATACATTCGTCATCAAATAATTTACATCTCAGCTACTGATCCAATAATAAAAAATTTATAGCAATAATGATTCAATTTTACAATTAAGATCTTTCACTCAATCCTTTGAAATTAAACCTGACAATTCGTATTGTGAATTTCACGCGGAAGGAGGCCTTTGATGTTGAAGTAACCTCGCGCGTGACGTTTTTCAAAGCAAATTCGGGAATGGCTCTTGTCATGATGGCACTTGTTAAAGATCAACAGGCAATCCATCTTAATCACAATTGCGATAATCCGAAAGCGAAAGGAGAGCCAAGAGCGACGGCGCGCGGCCTTTCCTGTCGGAAATGACAAATACCGGGCGCCTTGATGGAGTGGGCCTTATATAGAAATCCGCTGGCACTATCCTCGAGCACAGTGCTACTGCGTATAAAACCCTGTTCCAAAAATATTAACTTTAATTGTGTCACGACTCCATTGTGTTCGTTCGGAAATACCGTTTTATATTAATGTAAAAATTCTCAAGTTTTTATTTATTTTTATTAGACGCCGTATTTCGAAATTTCTATTTCTACAAATAGCATACGTTATTTCTGGGCGTGTTATATATTCACAATACAGTTGAAAAAAAGACCTCGTAATTTTCTCGCAAGGTCGCCAAGTCACCATCATTTCACACCGATCGACGTTTCAATGGTAATCCGATAGATATCCTTATATAAACAGAAGGCAGAGAGCGGACCTTTATCATGGATTCCGGATTACGTCGCGAAATTCCAGGCAACGCGCGTACACGATTAATTAACCGCAATTGTCATCTGCTTTTTCTCGTTTGCTCTTCTCTCGCTCGGAATTAGAATTTATGGCGGGCGCCACGTCGGGCGCGTCCTGATGCTTCTCCGACTTGTCCTTTGCGGATCTTTAAGACCTATTTAGACGAGACGATTTAAGGTCTCAGGCAGTAAAAGTGGATAGTGCTACTTAAGTTTAACCACATAATTCAGGATAATAAAAATCTTCTCTTCTAAATGTTATTTTCGTCTTACATCTTAAATGTTGAATGAAAATATTCAGAAATGTTGTTGATGCTACGTGAAAAATATATTAAAAATTAATCGAAGAGAGATAAAGCAAGAGTAACTTGCAATTAATTCCAATATGCTCGAAGGCTTTAATTATATGTTATATTCTATAATTATACAATTGTTTTGCATTAAGAAAGCTATATCATAAATGAACACAGCACTTTTGCAAAAGAATATATAATTTTTGGAATGTCGATGTCCATTCTAAATAGGCATTTACTCGTTAACTGAATGTCGGCGGTTGGACGCGTTAAGTCGAGATCGCGCGCGATCGAGGTCGATCCCGGGGATCCGAGGAAGCTGGCCGCATTAATGAGCCAATTAATGGGAGAGTTACGAGCCCGGCTTTCCCGACAAGACGATTGTCCGTCGACTTTTCTGACGCGCGTGGCAGAGCGAGTTACCTCGCGGCGACGAGCCGTTCGTTAACTTTATCGGCGAATCAAATCGGCGAGCTATCAGTTACCTAAAGCACTGTTAAGCGCGAACGGGATCGGCGATTCCGTTTCAATCGGCTGGCATTCGCGTTGCGACGAATGTAAATCCGATCAGCACTTTTATGTCACACACGCACAGTTCAATCACGCATGATCGATTTAATCCTTCCTGCTAGATAATTCTGTATTCTATAGGAGATAATTTGTGTATTTCTTGAGCCTTCATGATATGACAAGATTTTCATGTAATTGCAAAACGGTAAA